GACATCCAGGAAGGCCAGCTGGTTGTTTTCTTCTTCTTCCATCGTAAATTGAGTGTCAGGGAAGTCGGCGTTTAGAGGTTCCTTGAATGTCAGCACCTGATCCCGCTCAATAAGGACGAAGGTGTCGTTCGACCTGTGGTGTGGGAAAACTTCATAATTAAGCCACTGCCTTTTCACTTCATCATCATCTTAAGCGTTCAGAAATTCGCCGGCCTCTATCTTACCTCCACGAATCCGCTGACTTGACGACACAGTCGTGGTAACAGAGACCTTTAAAGGGGGTAAGGGTTGTCGGTTTTTGCATCCGCGTTCAACTTACTTCTACTCAACTACCATGAAAGGATTGCATCATCCGACTATAAAAATCACGTTGCTGAGGGTAATTGGGAGGCAGGTTTTGGGAGACATGTTAATTTTTTCATGGATTAAAAAATATCCTTCTCTCTCTCCGTGTTTTCCCTTTGAAATAAGGTCATGTCCATTGGTGACTCGTACATATGCCCCCCTCCCCCTCTCCCTTCGCCACTCGCCCCCCCCCGTCAAGCAACGCACGACCCCTTCCGTCTTTCCAGCGGACGGCGGAGGCAATCGAGAGGCTTACCCAAAACCCAAGAGTTTCGGGGAATGGTTGCGCCAAGACACCTATAGCCTCTGGCTAATAGCCGTGGGGTAATATTCACAAACAGATTATATTTTCCACCGGTGTGTGAGCCCAGCGCATGCCCCGGGGGTAACGGATAGGCAAATACCGCGCCCAAAGCTCTCTCTCCGAACTACTTGCTGATCTGTACTACCCACAAAAGAACTTTTCTTGGAAACCAGCTGCGCAAAATGTTAACGTGTATCTACCTCAATTTAGGCACTTATAGAACGCATGTTTGAAGACGGCAGAGCATAATAATTAAAGTCTACTGAAAAAAAGAATAAACACTGCTTAAAACCATCCCTGTGTTTGCATTTCATTATAAAGCAAATCAAGTCAACTAAATTAACCAAATCTGCCAAACCTCCTTGATACATAAGTTAGCCTAGTATCTTCTGGTGGATTCTAGATGATTGCTTAGGAAATCTTGCTTGGGCAGTCAACTAGCTGTCCCGTATTGGTGGATTCCATACGAGCGGCAAAGTTGGGCGGGTAATATCGATCCAAGTCTGATTAAACTCACAGTGTGAAGCGTGGCATTCGTAGCTCAAGTAGGTAGAGCGTTGGCTTGCGTAGAAGGCCCCCCTCCTATGCGGGTTCGAGTCCCGCCGAATGCCGTGAGTTTTTTCAAAATTGGGTCAACTAAAATCACACAAACCAAATTTTCCACTAGATTAACCTAATTTTGGATGTTTTTCTGTCTGTTACAGTCCAGCTGTGCTTTCAGTCTGTTTAGGACCATAACAGTGCTAGAGAAGTGTCCGCAAATTATTGGGCCTTCGCGTATGGGACTGCAGTTACAAACTCTCATACCTTCATCATTCTCAGAAAAAGGTGGGCAAGGGCTTCTGTTAAAAGTGAATGTTGGTAATAGGGGTTTACTGGGTGGGGAGGGGGAGCAGTAAGCATAACTGACTGAACCCCTCGCGGATGCGTAGTGTAGCACGACAAGAACGGGGAAAAACGCGTGTCTGGGATTTCAGCTATGATCTTTACTGTCAATACGGTGGATAACTACGTGCTGTATACTACTATCTGTCTAATGGCGTCTTGTGAATATTACGTGGTTGTTCCGCAGTAGCTGGTGGGTTTCAGTTCATTTATGTATATTAACTTCCGGACCGAGCCTGGAAAGAGCTTTTTCCGAAAGATTTACTCTTATTCCAACAGTTAAGCTCTTCGGAAATTGAGCAAGTCATTAGGTGATTTGTTTAGTGTGAAAAACACCGGCAAATGTCAGTGTTCAGCGGATTGGCGGACATACCAGGACTGTGTTCTCCCTCTAAGCATTGGGCCTCTTGCCCACAAATGGTGTTTGTACATCAAGCCTACATGGACAAATATTCGAGCCTGAAAAGTTGTGCATTTAGATTTTGTGGAAACTGACATGTACCAGATACCCCTTTTGCTAAACGGAATCCAACCGTTAAAAGTGAATCTACTACCACAGCAAGTCCTCTTCGCATACTATGTTTGTCCTGCAGCCACATCGAAAAAATGCTACTTGGTCTGTGAATCAGTTCACTTAACGAATGGCAAATAAAAGAATACAGGCTCATTGCACGCGTAGATAGGCGCAAAGACGCGAGCACATAATCTAAAATACTGGAAAATAGGAGCTGTAGACGGGCAGAAAAAGTAAAAGCACGTACGTCATTTAGATCTTTCAGGTAAACAGATTCCAGTCGTGACGACTAATCACATGGAAGTAGAAAGGAAGAAGAGGACATCGATAAATCCAAAACTCGTAATGTCTATGAATGAGCATATAACTGAAAATGACAATGTTGATAATCGCATCCATACCCCTAACTCTATAAAAGAGAGAGGTACGCTTTATGTTGAAAGTATTTGCCCATTATTTTCTACAAAAACTCTGCGATTCAGCATGAGTAAAAATTGGTATATAAAAAAATAATACCGGAAGTTCACAAACGATCTATTCTGGTTGAAAACTGGAAACGTCGACATCATGAACAGTCGTTGGTGAATGAGTCGCAGAATTTATTTACAAGTGTCTTTTCTCAAAACTGTGCTAACTTAGTGTACAGTCAGTTTCATTAGTGTAGTTCGAATAAGCAAAGAGGTGCGAGAATCTGTCTATAATGAGCAACGCAGGCCAAATGATGCAAATATAAGGAACTTTACATGTTAACGGAGAGCAGAAAAATGGCGGCTGCACTTCTACAGTCTAAAAATCAACACCTAACCCCAACTCTAACTTTTTAAGCTTACATCCAAGGCTAATGCTAATATTTAACTCTAACCATTAGCGGAATGCTAATAATAGTACTAAATCGCAATTGAGGCCTGGAGCATAAAGAGCGAAATAGGTGGTTAGCTTAAACCTACCTAAAGATTAGATGGAACCACATATC